AACCCCTTTGCATTGTCAGTAACAAAAAAGCTTAGGCATTAGTGGAAGTTGTATTACCTAATCTGCCTTTAAAAGGGATGTTTTTTGCTGCCTTCCCCATTTTAGAATCTCTGGAATGTGCCACAGAGATGAGGAATGATCCATCTGATTCAGAAACTAAAGTTCTTGGGATTCACAATCCCTTGACAGATGCTGTAAAAGATTGTTATTTGTGTGGGTTGAAGAGTTCAAAAGGAAGATCCATAGTTAGATTACACAGGGAAAGGTTCAGGAAGCTAGAGATGGCGACAAACTTATGTAACATGAAGTATGCAGGAACAGTTCCTTCTTGGAAAGGGCTGTAAGGTATTGGGATGTGCTGCCCATCCCTAGAGGTGTTCAAGGAACCACTTGATGTGGCACTCAGTTCTTTGGGCTAGTTGAGAAGGTGGTGATGGGTTACAGGTTGGACTTGATGGTCCTGAAGGGCTTTTCCAAATGACTCTGTGCAGAATCAAAGCAAGACACACGTGTTTCTTTGTTGAGCACGGTGCTGCTGCTGAAATCTCACTTTCTTCTTGTGTCCATAATTCCTTCTGACACCAGTTCCATCTTCTGTGCTCTCGCAGCCCTCTCTGTGCTTCTCCAGCAGCTGAATTAAGACCCTGCCTATCCTTTCTCTTTAGCTGGATGACATCTCCATATGTCAGTGCTGTGAGCTGCACAAGGAGCCATCCCTGTCCGTCTCTGGGGCTCTGCCCCTTTGTGGCACAGTGCAGAGCAAACACTTTCCTCCCCGTGAGTAGCCACAGCTCAGGGCCTGGCCCAGTATCCACTCCCAGTGCTCAGTTGCAGACTGGGTTAACTGGGAGTAGAAGCTCACTAATTCCAGCCCAGTTTGGATAGGACTGGAGAGGCAAAGGGGTGGGACCAGTGGGCACAGAGCTGCGAGGAGCACAGAGCTGTGAGGAGCATTTGCATCAGGGTCCAGAGCTGAGAGCTCTGAAGTGCTTCAGGCTCCGAGCAAAGAGGCAGAAAGATGCAGCTGTGGGGGTGGAATAATTGTATAAATCATTCAAGCTTTCTCTGCAAGTGCTCATCTTTCTCCAGCCTATTTAGCTATCCTGCACTTAGCTGGTTGCTATTTTAAGTGGCTTTAAGCTGCACATGTGACAATACTCTGGTTGCTGGTAAAGGTGCACATCAATGTGTGCAGGGCCTGATGCTTCTGGGTCAAATAGCAAGTGGGAGAGCTTCCAGCAGAGCCAACAACACATAAAAGATACAAAACCCATGCATTTAAATAGAAAACATGGATTGGTCTTCAATATTTATGGGTTTTGTAGTCCTTGATTGTAATAATTCACACAATTGTTGTGGTTTATCTTCTAATAAAGAAATCTGTTCTCATTTTTGATCTTGACTCAATGTATATACTTGAGTTGACTCTACTGACCTTAATTTTTATGGAAGGTGTATATGGAAAAGTCCAGCCAGTAAATAATTCCTCCCCTTTTTGTTAAAAATTCATAAGGAAGTGATTTAAAGACCAAAACTAAGTGAAATGAAATGAAAGCCACAAGGATTTGTTTGACTGATTAAAAAATTACAGATTAAGATTTAATTAGGGTTCACATTTCTGCTTTGTTACAGTCTGACTATTATATTGATCTGCCTAAAATCCTGGTCAAAACATAATCTAGTGATATGTTTAGACATTTATGGTGGCGCAGCCTGGCCAGACCACCACTATCCAATCACCTCAAGTCAGATCAAAGAGATTTGGGGTTGATACATTGATTATCACACACAAGGGATAACTGATGTGCTGTTTGCTTTCTTTATGTGTCAGGAGGAGACCATAAAAGATTCCTCCGGTCAGGAGGATGAGACACAATCATCTAATGATGACCCAACACCATCTGTTGCTTCTCAAGATCCTCAGGAGATAATTCGCCCTCGTCGGTGCAAATATTTTGATACAAGTATGTCCAGTTTAATGCCAAGCACAGCAAATCCCAATATGATTGACCTCTGGTTAAGCACAGCTCCGGCTAACTGGGGATTCTCTTCCTGAAATGCATGTTGATACCTAAACCCATGTTTTTCTGTTGAATAGCATTGCTCCTAGTAAGCATTGTGCTCAAAAGAACAGCAGAAGAAGGCTGAATCTGCTCTGCTGGCTCTGTATAAGGACAAGAGATTGTCTCTTTTCTGGAAAGAGAGATATTTCTGAGGAAATTTCTTTAAAAGGATGAAATTTGTGGGGAAATTTACATTTTACAGTTGCAAAAAAAGCAAGCTCTTAGCCAGCCCAGTTTGTGATCCTGCAAACTGGTTTGGGTGGATGTGCCCCTCACAGAAGTTACCTTGTACACACAGTCTGGGGGCAGTAAGACTATTTAGTGCGGTGGCAGCTGCCAGAGGTGGTAAGAAAAGGTATTTGCAAGTAGGAAATGAACTGTTGCAGGCCAATAATGGCTGTGCAGTGTGTGGTTATTGTAACCAGGCCTGGTGACACCTCCTCATCCAAAGGAGTGAGAGCCCAGCTGAAGGGGAAGGTAAAACATGACGTTTTCTACAAATAAAGCCCCAAATTTCCTCAAAATCACTAACACAGAAAAAGCAATGCAATCTGGGAAAGGCCAATTCCATAGTAATCTTGCCTGAGGGGATCAGAACCCTTGGAGCTGGCAGCAGAATCATAGGACAGCAGAGATGTACCTTTGATGACAGTGACATTGCTGATCATAGAATCAACCAGGTTGGAAGAGACCTCCTTCTGTGCTGTGTTTGAGTCAACACAACTTTCCTTTCCATACTTTATTCTTGATACTTATTAGCCATGACATTGTAAAAATGCAATTTCCTAATCTCTACTTCATTTTAATCCAAAGTTCTAAGGACCCTCAGTGCGTAGCTGTGCAGAGAATTGCAAATACCTTAAATAAACTCCTATTTTAAGCATAGAATTAGCATAATTCAAGTGTATTTGATTCGTTTGGGGTTTTTTAACAATGTTCAGCTGTGTATAGAATGCAATTTAATGTACAAATTATTTCAGTGCTGCTATATCACATCCTATATACAAACCAGCACACTGGGAAGGCAACTGGCCTATATCCTAAGGAGCTTAGCATTTCTGGCAGTCCTTATCCCAAATAATCTATTTGAAGTGCTGCTGTGCCTCTCTGACCTGCACATCCAAGCCTCCAAAATCCCAGGAAGACACACTTGTGCTCAGGTCTACCTTAAACTCAGTGACAGCTGCTGGAAGGGAACAAGAACAGCAGGAACTAAGGCAGGAGCTCATGGAAAAAAGTGTTGAATCCCACATGTGGGTGCTGAATATCCATGTAAAAATAGTTCCAGGAACGTAACTTTGGAGGGAACTGGGATGTGGATCATCCAAAGCTTCAAATCTGGGTGAAAGAAAAGGAAAAGTTTAATTTAGTAGCATTAAATAAATATGTATATATTTGTGCCTTAATTTTTCAGAGCCTGTTGAGTATCTTAATTCAAATGTGAACATTGGGTGGGTCAGTTTTTAATCTTGCCAGTACTGAGACATAGATATTGTCCTCAGAACTGCTCTTTGCACTGGTGTGGGGCTAGATAAGGGCAGAGAGGGAGCAGAGCAGGGCTGGAGGCTGCTGGGGTGACAGCCTGGGCTGCCTGTTGCCTTGCTCCTGTTGGCTAAATGTTCAAACAATTTCTTGTAGATAGTGAAATAGAGGAGGAATCTGAAGAAGATGAAGATTATATTCCCTCAGAAGACTGGAAAAAGGTAAATACTTCATATTTCATGAATAATAAGTTGGTCTGTTACCTAGTAACTCTGAGCTTTCTAGAGCACCCAAAGCCTCTTCAGTTTTTCCTCATAAATAGAAGAGTTTTGTGTTAAAATCCTTCTCAAACAGTCAAAAATCTATTTCCCTATGGTGCCTGCTAACTGTATTGTTAGATTTTGAACCTGTTAAGTTTTTGCACAGTGAAAGCTTTATGGGGTAAAGAAAAGATGAGGTCATTCTTGTGTTTGCTGACAAACCCATCAGGGCTGTGGTTGCTTAACTTGTTGGCTCTGTTATTTCAACACAGGAAATCATGGTGGGCTCAATGTTTCAGGCTGAAATTCCAGCTGGTACCTGCAAGTACAAGGAGAATGAGAAAGGTGAGATTTAGCACTATGGCCATTATTGGAGTGCCTCAAATTGCACTAGAGGTGGTTCTGATTGGCTCTTAGGGAAAATTCCTTCATGGAATGGGTTGTCCAGCCCTGGCACAGCTGCCCAGGGCAGTGGTGGAGTCACCATCCCTGGAGGGATTTAACAGCCATGGGGATATGTGGCACTTGGGGACATGGTTAGTGGTGGCCTTGGCAGTGTTGGGTTGGACTGAATGATCTTAGAAAGCTTTTTCCAACCTGAGCAATTCCATGATTCTATAATTAGCTTCTGAAGTAGCTTCTGACTCCATCATGCTGCTGAGGGAGAAGACGTGGATCATCCAGGGACTGTGGTTCCAGGAGGAGGATGCACTGTGGAGCTTCTGGAGGTTCATCAGTGACTCAAGAATCTAGAGCACAGGTTATTCCAGAGATCTGAAGACAGTATAAAGTGTAATATCCAAGTCCTTTGGATCACTGCCTCTGTGAGGCTCTTTCACCTGTCCTGTATGTGTTCAGGACAAATGTTGGTGCTCTAATGATCTTCCAAGGTCTCAGAATCTTAATCAGGGAGACTTTTTCTGACTTAGAGACAATAAATGACTATCTAATGGTAGTGTCTTACTTGTGTTTGCCCTGTGGTCCATCCAGTGTATGAAAATGATGACCAGCTGCTCTGGAATCCTGACTTCCTTCCAGAGAATAAGGTGATTGAGTTCCTCAACGAGGCCTCAAGACGTACTGGGGAGGAGAAAGGCCTGGATGCAATTCCTGAAGGATCACATATTAAAGACAATGAGCAGGTATGGAAGAAAAATTAGGATTTGGAGTTAGAGAATTAATCATCCCTTTAGTTTATTTTACTCCCAAGATTTGGGTTTGGTATTGGGTTTGGAATTGTGCTTGAATTCTGTTTCCTTCTGGAAATAGAAATTTGATGATTTTTTTAACCTCTCTATGAATATTAAGCTGCTAATTTAGGCTGAACATTGTTTTATATAAACTAAAATGCCTCAGTGTTTTATTTTATATATAAATGTCTATGAATTAATGCTGTTCCCTCAGAGTATTTTTAGAGCTGTTTGAATGCATATTTATTTCCTCATACACAAAAAACCCACATCAGTTTTACAAATGTCTGTAGTGGATGAAAATGTTACAATAAGTTGCCTGAATATATTCTTGGTTCTGTAATTAGAGATTGGGAAATATAAGCACAGGAAATATGTCTTACATTTTATTGCATTCATTCAAAGAGTTTATTTTTAGTCCTAATAGGTGTTAGTGATTTATTGAGTGGCACAGCATGAACTGAGTGATGTCTGGAATGTTCAGTGTGTGTTTCTTTCATCTCTCCAGGCATTATATGAACTGGTTAAGTGCAATTTTGATACTGAGGAATCATTACGAAGGCTGAGATTCAATGTCAAAGCAGCCAGAGGTGAGCAGAGGGAGAGAGAGGGAGTTTGTGGTTGAACTCTCCTTTCATGTGTCACACAGGTGTTGGGGTTTGCTGTCAGCAGGCTGAGAAGGTGTCTTACAGCTTCATTTTAATGCAGCCTCAGTGAATCTATCATTGTTCTGTGAGAGAATTAATTAGATGTGTAATTTCACTTCCTGTCCACTGAGCTTGAGAGAAATGTCTGGGACTTCAGCAGTGAGTTCAGCTTGAAAGTTACTTCCGAATTGGGTCTTTTTTCTGTGTTCTTCTAGACCTTTTCAGTCATCAAAGTGAATGCAACAAACATAAATATGGAATGAAATAATTCACAAAGGAGAAAGAGCAACTAAACCTTTTATTTAACAGAGTATAATGCTACAAACCCTGGTTAACATGCCTTTGGAACCTTGAGCACTTCCTGTGCTGGTATTGATCTTTGTACTCAAAGGAACAGAAACTGAAAGAGGACACAAGTTATTTCCTTACACATTGATTTGTTGGTTCTGTTTCCAAACCTCTCCAGAATTCCCTGTGCAAATCACAGGACAAGAATGATCAAATAAAGATAATTAGATTGTTCTCCCACTAATTTAAACCTTATTTACTTGTGACCTTAAGAATCAATGAGGCCAAATCAGATGAAGTTTAGAACAGTCCCTACCAAGTAGCTCCTTCCAGCAGCCAAATTTCTCCTCCTGCTCACTAGAAAGGAGAATGTTACACTGTTCAGTGAAGTTTTGGAGGTGGTTCTCATGGAGTCAGCAGAACCTGCTCACCACAGATGTTTTCTGTCACTTCACTTGTCTTTTAATGGCTTTTTTTTTTTGGTTAAGTATTTTTGTTATTGCTTTTTTTTGCTGCAGAAGAATTATCTGTTTGGACAGAAGAAGAATGTAGAAACTTTGAACAAGGGCTGAAAGTCTATGGCAAAGATTTTCATGTGATTCAGGCAAATAAGGTAAGGATTGAGTTTAAGTGCAGTTCTCACTTCTGGTTTTTAAGCAGTGTAATTGTGAAATAAATTCTTAGCCTTAATTTCCTTCACAAATTACTGCATTTAGTTGGTTTGGTTTTTATTATGTAATCACAGGGTCGTGGAATGGTTTGGGTTGGAAGGACCTTAAAGCTCAGCTCATTCCACGGGCAGGGACACCTTCCACTAGCCCAGGTTGCTCCAAGCCCCATCCAACCTGGCCTGGAACACTCCTAGGGATGGAGCAGCCACAGCTGCTCTGGGCAACCTGTGCCAGTGCCTCAGCACCCTCACAGGGAAGAATTTCTCCCTCAGTATATGTCCAGATTGGTTTCTCAAAGTCCTTAGTTCTCCATAACAGTGGCAGAAATCCTGCAAAAATCCTGTGGGAAGAATTTCATCCCTGGGCTCTGACTCTGGTTTGGACAGACTGTGAGACAGACTAGAAATACATTAACTTTACATCTCCATTTCGGGGCCTCTGAAATTTGAAGTCAGGGGAAGAATTGATTTGGAATTTCACGTCTTTGGATTTAAATGCCTCAAAAATTGGTTTTTTTTTTCCAGAAAATGCCTTTGAATTCATGCAGACTTGCCTGACCTCTCTCCTAGGTGCGGACACGCTCTGTGGGGGAGTGCGTGGCATTTTACTACATGTGGAAGAAGTCAGAACGTTACGATTTCTTTGCACAGCAAACTCGTTTTGGGAAGAAGAAGTACAACCTGCACCCTGGTGTCACGTAAGATGTGCCTTATTTTATCTGCTTTACGTGTTGAAACCTTCACTTTCTGTTCCTCTAAGCTGAAATGGAACGGAAACCAAGGGATTGAGTCCCAGTTTGCAGCAGCAGAACAGCCGAGGTGTAAGAACCTCACAAGTGTGTGTGTCATGTCACCTCTCAAATGCATTTATTTGGAGTAAGGTCAACAATTTGCATGAAATTGAGTTTGTTTTCTTTTGGAATGCTAAAGTTTCTGCAAATAAATGTTTTTTCAATCCCGGTTTTACTTTAAATATGTTTTAAAAACGTGTGTTACACAGAGGGATTTTTCACAAGTTTGAGGTGGGATTTGTGGTACTTTGTTTGACAGAAATTCCTGCCAGAACAGTGCCCTATCCTCGAGCTTTTTTAGGTGTCCATAGCTCCTTTTCCCATTCATATAAAGGAAGGCAAAGAGGAAATGTCTGAGCAGAACTGAGAACAGAGCCAATATATCATCCTGCCCTTCATTCCAACACTCTGATTTGACTATCCCACTCTTT